AGCATGTACATTTGAGTTTCTTTGGAATGTTAACAATTCCAGATTTCCTATAGTGCAATACTTTTCAGGTATATAATTTTTCAACCATGTATTTTTTTAAATATCTTTAAATTACCCAAATATACTTTATTTCTGAATAAGAACCATACTTCTAGAATTTCTCTGTTTTAGAATATAGAAACATTTGTGACAAGGCAGCAAAATCCTAAGAGATTTATCTCAAAGAACAGCATCAAAAATAGTTGGACGCTTATGTCATACTTCAGTTGCCTAATACACAAGTATCTGCAGGTCCTTCTCCTGTGATAAGGGACCTGACAGGCCTGTTTACTTCTGAGAAAGATGAAACTGGGTCTGCAGAGTGCAGTAGCTGGAGGCCAGGTATCTAAAACCCCCTGAACAGCACTCCAGAACTTCTGTCTATTCAAACAACTCCCTTTTGTGTGGGTCTGAGCTCCCGATTAGGACACTTAAATTTAAGGGCCAGAATATGACTGTCCAGTCTCCATGTCTAATGAATTCAGAGCTAAACTGAACGCCAACTCCCTAAATACAGGTATCTGATGCCATTTTTAATGCTCAAGACTAGCCAAGTCCTACAGGTGAGATGGGCAGATATAACACAGTCTGTGGGACCTGTAGCTTCTGGCAAATGAAATGCCTTTATCTCACAGAACCACAGAATCACAGAATGAATGAGGTTGAAAAATATCTTTGAGATCATCAAGTCCCACCTATGGCCTAACACCTCATCAATTGTACCATGGCACTGAGTGCCACATCCAGTCTTTTTTTTAAACACATCTCCAATGATGGGCAATTTCTGTTCTTAGGGAAGTGATTTGAGCCATTAGTTATTCCAGTCACTGGTGCCTCTGGGGTGATTTTATTCACTGTAATGAAGCACATGTTGGTGTGAACATCTGTGGGACTCCACCAAGCAGACTCCCCACACTTCCACTGGCTACAGCAAGAGCTCAGACAGCATGCACAAATAATTAAATTAAACCCTTGAGATACCGAAACATGGGTGTCTTAATGTACATTGAATCCCACACTTATTGTAATTTCCCCCAGTGTGAGAGTATCTGTCATCTTCCCAAAGCTTATGTCACAGCTGTCCTTAAATGTAGCTCAATGAGCACCCTAGTGTTCCTTGTAGGAATTGTAATCATAAGAGAAGTTAAAGAATTAGTTGTAATTTCAGCTTGCTCTAGAACCCTTTCAAGCCCATGAGAGTCTTGTGAACTTCAGTTCAAAAATCAAGAGCTACAAGGTCACTTATTTTTTAGATGCCTGTGGATGGGTATTAGAAGACATAATTAGTTGCAATTGAAGCATAATAAGTATGGGAGGGAGAAAGAATCTTGCCTAAAAACTTGTTTGAGCTCTTTTTCCTTCATAAGGATGTGTGTAAAAGCATCAAAACTCTTCTGATCTGAGGACAGAAAAATGGAGGAAGCTGTTTCTCATTATTTCTTTCTCTCATGTGCTTAACAATAATTACATCATTTAGTCTAATCTTGCCCTAGTCATGGCTGTCAAAATCTTCTAGAAATAACAAAGATAGCCACTGCTCAGGGTTAATTTTATTCTGGTAATATCTTAAAAATAATATAAAACATAAACTTCTTCCTGCCCTCTTTTTTTAATGCACATGGTTAAAATGAGTTCCAGTAGTACTATAACTGATGGTCATGTGTAAAATAAAAGTAGAAAATATTGGTACAATAATCTTAAAATTCAGTTTTCATTTCTATACCATAAATAAGATGATTCTTTTCTTCCCTCTCCCATATTCTGCTCTGTAACCCAGTTCCATCAGCTGCAGAGATTAAAAGAAGTAACTATGGTCCCTCTTTAAAATCCTGTCATTTTCATTTGTTCATCCAAGAAACCCCTAAAGCTAGACCACCCCTAAAGCTGACTGAAAATCTAACTGTAACCCAAGCTCTGCTCATGGTAACCAAACCTGAGACAACAGGAAAGAAGCTTTCACCTGTACAATTCAAAACTTTGTTTTACATTAGTGGTTTACACAAAATGTAAGGATTCTTACATCTCCATTTTTATCTCAACCTTAAACCAACCCATAGCACTGTCAAATATGGCTGTCAAAAGTGACATTAAAAGTTGATAGTCAAGCCCTGAAGATAAAAGGTTACAGCAATATTCTCTCTTATGTAAAAGCAGAACTGGTTTTATTTTCTTCTACATACAGTCCACTATACACTTATAAAATATTTTCCTTCCCATTTGTTTTATACTAATTATAGCCCTAATTTTAACTCTGTTCACTGCTTACTTTTCAGCCTTACCGTCTAGTTGGAGAAAAATTGGAGCGATTTGGTTCATATACTAGTTTTATTTCTCTAGTTTAGAAACAGTACCACAAAATTTGTATCTCTTCCTCACTTTCTGATTGCTAATGGCAAGAGTCCCTCCCAGACCGCTGCAATGTGGATCACTCTTCCATGGAGTGTAGTCCCACAAGGACAGGCTTCTCCAGGGTGGTCCTGCTCTCTGTGGGTCTCCTCCATGGGCTGCAGGTGGATCTCTCCATACCATGGACCTCCAGGGGCTGCAGAGGAACAGCTGCCTCACCACGATCTTCAACATGGCTTTCACCACAGCCTGCAGAGGAAACTCAACTCTGGTGATTGCAGCATATCCTCCCTCTCCTTCTGCATTGACCTGGGTGTCTCTATTTGCTCTTCCCCAGTCACAATTACAGCTGTGCAGTAGCTTTTCTTTTTAAAGTTCCTTTTAAATACATTATCATAAAGGTGTTTCCACAATTTCTAACTTGTCCAGCCTTGACCAGAAGCATGTCCACCTTGGAGCCACCAGGGAGTGGTTCTGTCAGACATGGAGGAAGTTTCTGGCAGTTTCTCACAGGAGCCACCCTGTTAGACCCCTCCACTACCAAAATCTGTCCACAAAAACCCAATACAGCTAGGTAATGTGATTTTAAATTATTTTACTTTGAAGGTCTGAAATCAGTACAATAATGATCTACTCCGATTTTTTGAAAATTAACACTAACCTGGCTATGGCTACTTTGCAATCACAAGACATAACCTGAAAAATATAAAAATTGGCTCTTTTGAAAGCACTGTCTGCAATATACAAACATACTTTTAGTATTCACCTCCCTCATTTCCACTACTCTAACCTGAATCCTACTGTACTTCTCAGGCACAGCTAAAGGAACAAAAAATAAGACATTATCTCAAAAATACCATTAATATTATTTTTCTTATATAACATATAAATATATAATGTAATTAATAACTTGCATTCAACTTAACTCCTAAGTAATACTCAGGAGTACTAATTCTGTAGTATCACCACAAAATATTTTTGGCATTTCCTTCAATCCAGTCCTAATCATTCCTGTTGAAACATTACCCTTTATTAACCCTTAAGCTCTGGTATTTAAAAAGCTGTACAGCCACCATGGAGTAATTAAACAAAATAAAAGAATATCAGCGCCTGTGCTCTTTCCAGTACATTCATCTTTCTAGGTTATACCACACTCACCACCACCAGAGATAAGTTTAAAACTCTTTCTTTTCCCAAACCTGACTCCAACCAAATTTTCATCCATCTTATGATCTGCAGACTGCACTAAAAGCCTGTTCCTGAAGGGAATAGAAATGCTTGGACATTACTCTATGTCATCAGTCATTTTAGAGTGAGGGTCTACTTTTAACCCAACAATAGATTCTGATCTTTCTTTCTCTCTTTAAATTGCTGCTATCGTCTCTTTTTGGAAACTTTCCTCAGAACTTTGAATGATCCCATCACAATGACCAACATCAGCAGGTTTTATTTTTCATGCTGCACAAAACATAATGACAAATGTGTCCCTTCTCTCTCCTAATCCTAAATTTAGAAGTTTTGAAGCATCAAGGACTACCAGAGACTGTGAAAGAGAAACAGGCAATTAGCTCCAGCTGTCCCCAGAACTCATTTTGTCATGCTTTGTAGTTCAAAATACTGACTGTTCTGGAGCACCTCACCCAGATCCTTCCCTTCAATGCACAGCCAACCGTTACTTTGATTCTTTCCATTTATAAAATCCTTCAGACTCTCAGTTCTCCTCCATAGTCTCTCCAAGAAATAAGTGTGATCCTTTTCCTTTCCTCAGTACTCCAATATTTAAATATTTTGCTTCTTCTCCTTCAGAAGCTGTAACCTAACACTAAAAGTTCATCTTCCTCCTCGTCATCAATTTCGTCATCATCATTGTGGACTTTGTCATCTCCATTGTCATAAAGGACTTTGTCATTGTCGACGACTTTGTAGTTGTCAACTTTGTCATCATCTTTGTAGTCTTCGTCATCGTTATGCTCATTGTTTTCATCAAACTCATTGTCGTTGATGATTCATCGTCATCATCAATTCATCATTGTTTCATCATTATCGCTGTCATCGGCGATGCCTTCATTGACTTCATTGTCATCTTTATTGTTGTCTTCTTCATCGTCATCCTCATCTTCGTCATTATCAACATCATTGTCATCTTTCTCGTCATTGCTGTCATCATCTTCCTGACTACATCGTCATCATCATTGTTGTGGACTTCAACATCGTCTTTGTCATCAAGGACTTTGTTGTCATCACTGACTTTGTAGTCTCTGACTTCTTTGTCGTCTTTGTCATCATCAGGCTCCTTGTTTTCATCATCAACTTCATTGTTGCTGTCTGTTCGTCATCGCAGTTGATTCATCATTGTTTTCGCCATCATCGTTGTCTTCGTCATCGTTGTCATCATTGACTTTGTCATTGACTTTATCTTCATCCTCATCGATTTGTCATCGTCAACATCATTGTCATGGACATTGTTGTCCTCGACTGCATCGTCATCCTCATCCTCGTCAATTCATCATCCTCGTCTACTTGTCGGCATCATTGTGTTTGTCGTCACCACCTTCTTTGTTGTTGTCCTCATCTTTGTCATCGTCAACTTAGCAGATCTTGTCAATTCGTCATCATCATGGATTCGTTGTCATCAACATTGTTGTCATGGACCTCAGCATCCTCAACTTCATCATCATCATCATCATTGTTCTTATGGATTTCATCGTCCTAGTAAATTCTTCACCATTGTTGTCTTCATCATCCTCATCTTCTTTGTTGTCATCCTCATCTTTGTTGTCATCAACTTCGCAGACTTCGTCATCATCATGGTATTCATCATCATTGTCAGTTTCCTCCTTGACTTTGCCATTGTCTTCTTCATTGACTTCATCATCTTCATCGTCAACTTCATGGACTTCGTCATTGCGGACCTCTTCGTCGTTGTTGTCATTGTCATCCTCGTCGACTTTGACTTCATCATCCTCGATGCCATTGTCCATTTTGTCATTGTCAACTTCCTCAACTTCATCACTTGCAAGTGGACCACCTAAAATAGAAAAACAATAGTGGATGCTTAGAGTTGCACCAAAATTGACACCTGAGCAATAACAACTGCTTCCATCCACTGGATACTGCTCGCCCTGCCCACTTACCTTGACTGCAGATATCCAGCTTTACTGCCTAAAAATAAAGAAAAAGAACAATGCTGTAACACAAAGTCACAATTTACACTTGCCCTGCAAAGACAAATGGAGACTGACCTTCTCACGGGAACTTCTTCACCCAGGATGGGGCGGTCTGCCACGGATTTCATCTAGCTGCATCTGAAAGAATGTTAGGACAAAAGTCAGTGCTGCAAGATAACAGCTCCAGACATCTTGTGTCAATCTACAAATCCCATCTGGAGTCCAATGACACCCTACATTGCAAATTTCAAGTGCCTAAAACTTGTCCTATTACACCTACACCAGGCTCTGCAGTAGGGCAGAGCAGCTCCAGCCCAAATACACAGACACCTGTGACACAGGGCATGACAAATGAGGGGACACAACAGGGAGAGAAAACTCTCAATGAGAAGAATGCCCACAAGGACCAAGAGAACGCAGAATGAGATGACCAAGATGAGACCGACGGTGAGCCAATGAGGCTCAGAGAATCCCAGAGGAACAAGATGCTAACACAATTACTTATTTCAAGGACTGCAAAGATGGGTGCCCGAGAATCCTACAGTCAGAATTCTCTATCTAACTTTGCATTTGTACAAGTCGACTGCGTTGCCAGAATGTTAATTCAGCTTGCCTTTCAACAGGAAAGGCTTGCTGGGGAAAAGAGATAGGCAGCAGTACCTACACTTTAACACCCACGTTTTTACTAATCCACTATAATGGATTGTTGTGGTGCACAGCTGTCAAGAACAACTCAGAACAAGACCTTAAAAGACAAGACCTCTCTATGTGAGAAAATAAAATCTATGGACCTCAGGAAACAAAAACTTAGATAGGTGATTCTTATGAATATCAGCATTTACTACATCCTTAAAGGTTTTCTGTTAGAGTGTGTCTAAAATTTTTTATTTTTTTTATAAACTCAGTGTACTCCAAAATGGTGTGACAAGAATGCAGGGTACAGGAAACAAGGAGGAGTGTCTGGAGACAGTTGAGATATGTGTCACCTCTTGCTTTGACCACGGACCAGTTGAAAAAAAAGGAGAAGAGGAGAGGATACAGAGGTTGGGATGACTTCAAATGATTTTGGGACAGATTGGTTGTTGTGGAATGTCAGGCGATAGGTTTGGAGTTAGAGACTGGGATTTGGAAAGGAAGAAAGACTGACTATTAGGAAAAAAACTTTATGGGACGCTTCTTCAAATTTTAGCTGGATACCTCCTATCACCTTCAGACAGCAGTTAACAGCCAAGGCTCAGTAGATTTTAGGAAAATGGTATATGGACAAACAGATTAACTCATGTGTTCATGTACCCAGAAACCCCATATTTAAGCCATCAAGTGGGGGCATGTGACTATATACATATTAAACTGGAAAAGAGTAAGAGAGATCAATAGTGTCAACCTTGAAGCATTGCACAGAAATCATATATACCAAATATATCTAAAAGTATTTAAGGAATTATGATTATGAAACCCAAGCTATCTTCCCATTTCCACTTTTTTTTGTTACTCTTTTTCCTTTGACTGGAATGGACTATGGACTGGGGGGTTTGTGTTTAACACTCACTGTAAAAGGGGCTGGAATTTTTTGAGTGTCAAGAGACACAAATATTAATGTCATTATTCAGTCAGGAGTATTGGTAAAATTGACAGGTGTTCAGGGTTTATTCTGCATTTGCTAGGAAGAGGCTAATTAAAAGAATATCTATAAAGTATTTTTACAAAGACTGCCAGTTTTGGAAAGGCTTTCAAACTAATCCAATGTAGGTAGATAGGCCCAAAAAATTCTGTGACTGGACAAGCTCTTGAATGCTGCTGTGCTTGAAAGCTCGAAGAGATTTACTTTGGAACCATTACAAAGTGCTTAGAAATTCTGACATCACGCTTAGCAGAGGGGAAATCAAGGAAGAAAGTTTAATAGACTCATGAACCGAATCTTTGTCACTCTTGTTTGCATGGCAGGCCACTAGTCATGAACATACAATAAAGGTTTCCATGGTGTCAGGATTGAGGTGTGTCATTAGTCTACAACTTTCAAGATTGTGAATGTATTCCTGTAGGAAGAAACTATCTATTTCCCCAGACTTGCTGGCAGGATTAGACTGACTTTAGCACCATATATTTTTTTTTAAAATCCACTGCAAAATATTCAGGAATAATGTTCCACAGAGAACACTGCATAGGAGATTTTTTTTAAACATATGGCAGAAAGCATATTAGCATGAATAACTTCTATGACATTTCCCCCTCCTCCCATCCTTGAAATTGCTGTGAGGCAAATACAAAGTGTAAGTGAAAATCTAGAAGAGAAGAAAGACGTAGGAGTTGCAAACCAGGGCTGGAATTTGGAATCCAAGGGTTCCTGAGTACCAGGGTTTTTTCTTAAAAACATGATTATTTTTCATAATAAATATGAAAAATATTCTTGAAATTCAGAAAGTCCTAAGTCAAGTTGTGAACCAATGAAGGGATTTTTGGTTGTATTTGCATATCTGTGTTATTATCCTACTAATAAAATTCTTATGAATGGAATTTTTAACTTTCCTATCTCTGTCACAGAACTACTTTGGAAGGTTATATAATTGCAAACTGCCTCATGTACCCATATGCAAAATTAGAATAATAGTGCATCCTTTTCATTATCTGTAGAAGTTGTGAGCAATTTGGGGAGGAAGCTGGGTCTATTAATCCTGGGTCTATTAATCTGCTACCCAAGACATCTGTGTCCACTGCTAACAATAAAAAGCTCCAGACATTTGTAATCTTGGAACATCTGAGCACAGAGTGTAGAAAGTGTAAGAAATTATTTTTATGCTTTCCTGTAATCTTTGTGATCCTCCAGGGAGGCCCAATAAGACTATAAGCATAATTATCAAAAGTGATTTCATTTAAAAAAAAGGAGATATCAGATTTCCTGTCCCTCCTCAGTCTCTAGTATCAGCAATGTGATGACCCTAATCTCCACATTATTACATCCCTGCACTAATCTGCATGTCATTTTATACAGTCATGAACATCTAATACAGAAAGCAGGGTAGAAAAATGTAGCAAGTTTTCCTGCACCAAAATCTTGATAACTGAGTGTCAGAAAAAGAGCAATCAGAGTCCCAAGAGATGTCATCAACTTTGTTTCTTTGCTTGATTGAAACCTCAGCTGCACCAGCCAGTACTATTGCTGTCCTGCCTCACTGTCTTCACCCTTCTTCGCCTGAGAAGAGACCTCTGTGTGATGCCCCAAATCCATTCTGACTGCATGTGCTCCTGCAGTTTGGAGATTAGAGCAGTCTAAATGGGAGTGATCAGCTCAAATTTTTGTGTCAGATTGATGATAACTTGTGATTTCATAGAATAAGTGGCAGGATGATTTTTTAGACAAAAGGCGAACAGATAATCACGTGCCCGGTAGGTTGCACAAGGTTTCAAGCCTTCACTAATAAATGTGCAATGAATGAAAACCTTCTACTTTGTGAAACTGTCAGAAAAACAAACAATAAGAATCAGTGATTATAGCATACTTTTTCAATATTACCACATTCATGGAGACAAATGAAACAACTGAAGTAGTTTAACCACATTATTCTGTTTTTCAGTCATGCTATTGGCATATTGTTCTATTAGAGTTTACCAACTCAGAGACCCACTGAGATTTATCATTTGGGCTTTTATAACCAGAACAAAGTGGATCTCATTGATGATGACAGTGAATAACATAAGCAGATCCTAATAGTAATTTCAGATGACAAAACAGTCAAGCAGCATTCAGCCTTAAAGTTCATGGTCCTCTAGGCTGAGGTCTTTAAACAACAAGAAGACAGTGAAATTATCACCTCATCAAGACCCAGAGAAAGCACTTTAGGGTATCGTCATGTAGACTGAATGGTCCAATCCAGGTAAGCAAGAGAAAATGCTGCAGACATAGCAGAGCCTTCTTGATTCCTTGTGAAAGGTCCTAGGTGCCATGGTCTGCAGCAGGAACAGATTTCAGAATGTGCTATCCCTGCCCAGAGACAATCCAGGCACTGGCATGCAGGTGATGAGTGGAGATATACAGTTAAAAAATTACAGAATGTTGGATTTTCCTGTTTTAAATGATTCTTTAGCACTTCAGTGTACCAGGCTCCTCCCCTGCATTGGTGTTTGGATCCAGCCTTGCCATTAAGTTCATCATTAAGAAATTTTTGGGATTTTGCATTTCTTACCATGCTGACACTTACTGAGCTATTTATCTTTAATTTCTATTCTACTGACAGCACCAAAAGCATATTTTTCATAAATATTGTTATTAGCTATTTAGGTTTTAAGAAAATTTATGTAGGTGTTCTCCATCATGGCATTAAATTGAAGTTCCTTAACAGTCTGTAGTACAAAAGTTAAAATAAAATAGTGTCAAAAATGCTAATTTCTTTGAAATATTTCTACAGTCAATCCCTTATAAGAAGAGTGTCTGTTCAGCAGTGATTCCAGACAGATTTTCATTTTAAAGATAGTTTCCGTACAAGTTTTCAAAACAATTGTTTTTCACTATTAAAAGCAATATGAAATTTTAAAAGCAGAATAAAAAGATGATTTAGAATGAGGATCAAGAGACGGAGTTTCAATTTGAGAGTAACTTTTTAAATAAAGATAAAAAGGGCTATTCAGTTCTCCTGGTTTTACTCATTCTCAAATTCTTTTATAAAGCATGAAGTTGATGCAGAGTGACAAAATAAGTTTTACCCACAAGACACCAGTTTATGTAGTATACATAATACCTTACATAAGCAAATCCAGATCACCACATTTTTCAAGCTTTTCACATGAGTAGGTGAATTGTGGTTCTGTTGCAACCATCCTTCAAAGAGATCAGACTTCACAGGTCTTGGACTCATTTTCGCAGAGGGCAAACCAGAAGGACATCAGCAACCAACATAAACACATTAATAAGCCTTAACTAGCCTCAAGCAGCCACAGAGAAACACTTGGTTTTCTGAGCAGTAATGATAGCAAGGTGGCAGACATTTGTTTAGATCCAATGTTGGAGGATTCCTCCTAAATGCAAGCTCAGGTTGGCCTGTGACAGCCTGATCTGGCACTCCCGAGCACTGCACCTCTTCTTCCTCTTTTTTAGGTAAATTTAACCAAAACCAAATGTATTCCCCCCAGCATTCACAAA